CCCCCAGGTAACTCTCCCCCACTGTGATATGTTATTCTGTGACCTCTATCCTGACCTTTAGAGATTATAACACACTAATCCTCCATCATCTACAGCATTTAATCTTAAAGTATGTGTTCAATTGAGTAATATAGTTAGAACTTCCCTAGCTTATAAAGGAAAGGTATGCAGCATTGTCACCTACGTCATTGTGAAGTATGTAAATCATTACATAACTGCATGTTTCATCATATTCCCTAGCTTTTTTCTCCTTCTGACTAACTAACAGTGATGCAGAGCTCCAAGCCCAACTCCATTCAAATCATTGTTTGGTAAAAATTGTGGAATGATCACTAAAACCAAAATTGAAGCTGCCTATGGAGGCTCTTGTGATATCTAAGGCTTAATAGTCAAAAAAGCAGACACACTATTGATGAAAGAAAATGATGGAGCATGATAATTCTGGTGTGCACTAATGTCTCTCTCATTCCAACTTCAGATAATAAAACTATGCAATAACACGCGACTGCAAAGTAAGTTAGCATCAAACTAGGGTCTCCATAGGCATGTTGATGACTACCACTAAAGTTTTTGGTTCCAAAATTTTTTCTTCTTGTCAAAATTTTTTCTACTTGCCATGGCCACCAAACAGTCATAGCTTTCAAGCATACACAATTTTTGTATGTAGCACAAGTAAGTTTGTCTTACTGTATTTTATCAAACTGTACAAATCAGAGGAATGTCCAGTACAAGTTCACTGAGGATTCTTTCTTACTAATGATCTACTGAAAAAAAATTCAATGAAACGTTATCTTAAATTTCAACTCTAGAGAACACCTTAAATCTTCTCTGTCAACAAAACCTATGTACAGCTGTATTCTTCTTAGTTTAGAATTCAGAGAATTTCAGGATCACTGTGATAATATAGAACTCTCTAATTTTAATGAATGCAAAGAATTCTAGGAAGTAGTACTTTTGAATGAATAACAATATATGAGATTTACAGACATTTTTACAAATCTGTCAACACAATATTCTTCAGGCATGTTTCACTCAAATTCTACACTTGAAAGAACTTTAAAATTGTGGGAAATATGTAAAGAACTCTTCCCCACTCTCTTGAAAAAAAGTTTTGAATTCTATCTTGGTGATTTCAGCCACAAGAGGTGTTGTAATCCAATTACATGCTGTTGACATGTGGACACATACTTTACAGCCTGGTAAATCTCCAATGAAGAAAGGGACCACACACTGTAAGATATTTTTCAACAAATCCTTGTCTAGAATGACCTTTTTTCTTAGTTTTTTTCAAAATATGTTTAACATCAAAAGTAAAAAGTCTTGCTTAGACATTATCTTCCGAAAGCACCTTTAAAATGAGTTCTAGGCACTGTTCTATGAAGAACAGACACAGGTAAATCACACAAATTGCACGAAATTTTCTGTGACATTCCTCCCTCATTGTGATAAAATATACAATCTATAAAAATCTATTTTACTTAAAGTCACATTTTGTTTTTGAAAAAAGTTTGAATGAAACAACTATTGTCTGTTGGTTTTAGTAATATCCCACAGATTTTTAATCTCTGGGTGATGTATGCAACAGTATGGGGCCTTCAAAATGCCAAATTCTTTCACAATTTGCTCATCAGCAAGTTATAAAGATACCCCAGAAGACCTACAGTGCCAGCATTATACCTACATGATCGTTTCTGTCTGACAAAACACTTTTAAAGCAACAAAAATAAAGCTTTTCTATCATTTTGACTGAACAAATGTCTTAAACTTAACAGGTGCATTTTAGGAAAATGTTCTGAATGCAAATTTTGATATACTGTCAAAAATACTGCTTACTTACATTCAAAACCGATGAAACTTTGAATCCCTATTACTGTCCGTGACTAATGTTCAAAATTCCTCGTTGGCCATAAAACTCACAGTTTTACCCATAACTGTTTATCAAAAACACTTTACCCTCAGAACAATTTCTTACTATAGTTGTTTGTACGTGTGAAAAAGATTTTTCAATAATAAATAATTAATGCAATAAATCATACGTTTGCTGAGAAAGTTCTTCGTGATAGGAGACACTAACCTTGAGAAAAATAAATTTATTAAATAAATGATTTTTTTGTGATTTGACCCAATGACGATGTAGTTTCAGAAATGTTTTTACGCAACAATAAAATTATAGTAATTACAATTCACAAAATACTGGCTATCACATGTTTTGTAGTGAAAACAATAGCGAATGTAGAGATTATGCAATAAAGATAAAAGCAGACATAAGACGATTGCTAGTTCACTTTCGCTAAAGTATCAGAGCTAAATGTTCATTCCGGACGACAAAAAACTTATATTCAAATTTGAGACAAAATGACTGATTGCGTGAATTGGTCGAAAAAAATCTCGTTAATTATTTAATGATAGAAATTTCCAAAGAGTAAGATATACCTACTAAAACCACTTGCAGACAGAAAACAAAACAAAACTATTCAATAATCGCATTTTTCCTTGAGCTCCATTCAGTTGTAAACGCTCATAAAAACAACAAAGTCTTGAAAGGTAAACAGTTATTCCGATCTCTACTGACAATGCACAATCTCGCTGTCAAGGTATGAAATTTATAGAGCACTTTCTTCCGTTGATTCTCGAAAAAACTGTGCAATTACAGAATCTTCTTTGATTCATCGACAATCTGCACATAGGATGATACAAGGTTTCCGATATCTGAAAAATGTACTGACGAAAATACGGTCTCTCTGCCTCGAAGTAAAATCGACAGTTCAAACAAAAATTTTGTGACAACTCTACAAAGGATTTAAGCTATTAGCATTACCTCGCTTGTAAAACCAGATCCTACATGAAATAACGACAGCGTTAGAGAAAATTTTCATAGTTTAATAGCATAATCTTCAAGTGGATCGCTTAATTTCACCGAGTGTGTTCTGTGTCTGCCTAGGACAGATGCGTTGACCAGTGGTGCGCGTGACAGATTTGCCTACGCATCTTTGAACTGCGATTTTTACACAATAAAAACAACCATTTAAGTAACCACTTTTCTTATCGAAGTCTCCTATCTCTCAACATTATAATCGACTCGAATGCTCTTCAAAATGACATGCAAAATCAACTGACGAGTTTTCCGTCTAAAATCAACAATGCTGCGATCGGCTAAAGTGGTGCATTAAAACAACGAACACTGTCCTTCCATTATGCAGCCTGATTGGTTTTGAACATTTAACGGCGACCTCTCAAACAACAACTAAGACAAAACAGCGAAAGAAAAGAAAACTTATTAATGTATCTCTAAAAAATAACCCACCTCGGTAAACTAGCGAGATATGCGAGAACTCGAGCCAAAGAACGGCGTTCGATTTCTGCTGCCCTAGATCGCGCCGGAAATGTTATAATGGGGCCTCCTCGTCGATCACGACCACCTGAAAAAAAACAAAATTTGCCATAATTTACGACATCAAGCAGAATTTTTTGACAGCACTTTCCTTGGAGGCAAGGTATCAACGAATCACAAAAGCCGCATACAAATTAGTTATCACAAATCATTAAAGATTGTGGTCGCGCACAAATTTATTAAAACATCACCATAGTTATAAGACGCTTTCCATTGCACATTTATTTGCCTGGCGCGATTTGCGAAGTAATGGTTTATTGCTTGTATAATTCAAACATACCAAAGGACAATCAATGAAAACAAAGAAACGGCGAGCGTTATCCGGCATTTTACAATATAGTACCGTTGAAATTCAATGATGTCAAGGAGACATTTCAAACGAATTCACAACGAGCGAGAACTACGTGTCCAATCTTATTGTTTCTTACCGTAAAAAATTGCAATTCTTTGTTGTAACAGGTCTAGAAAGTCTCTAGCTCTCAGTCCTTCCCATCTGCCTTCTGGTTAAAATACGAACAATCCGATAAAAGAGTGGGAGAAACACAACGGATAAAACATCACCTTGAAAAGTTGAATCTAAAATTTACGCTCCGCGTGATCCACTACTCAAAACAAATATACTCCTAAAAGACCGGCGTTTCCGAAAACTCTAGAAAACTTTTACCTGAGCCGAATATCGAGGACAAATCACTGTCCGAAGAGGCAGTGGACCACCGTTCTGGCGTATTCATAGCCTTTTTTTACAACTCGTTCTTCATTCTATTCATCTTACGATGACAGTTCTCGCTGGGAGAAGCCATTTTTCCTTACCCCAGTATCGTAGTCGTGTGACGTCACGCGTAACGAATGTATGATAATTTATGCGAAAGAGACCTTCATGTCATATAATGACAGGAAAAGATTAATATTTTCGGCCTCTTGAACAAAGTTTTTGCGCGATCACACCTAACCAAACTCAAATGTCAGCCAGGTTTTGAATTTCACCGGAAAATAACAAAATTTTTTTAAGTCTTACTATTGCTTCCAGAAATGGGCGTCTTCAGACCGCGCGAAGTGATATGTCCGGAGAGAACACGACCAACGATTTGGGAATAAGCTTTTGGACAAGCTACGGAAGTCAAAAAATCGTTCCCGCGGGTGATATCGCAATTTATACACCGCAAACATAATCGTGCACTTCACTTACTCGCGTTCAGATACTAACTAACTCATAAGAGACAAGTTTCTCTTTGCCAGTAATTAGTTTCATCTTAAAACTTTCGAATTGTTCATGAAATTCGTGTGCGCTTTCTTTGTTGATGTAAATAGAGATCGCTATCTCGCTTCACCACAAAATACTTGTATATCGTTCACTTGCTTTGGCTAAAAATAACCCTTATATGTAATAGCCACGGGTAAAGCTATTGTTACCTACACAGTTTGAGTTTACCCTAATCAGTCCTTTCCTTTTTCTCCCGAAGAAGAGACACGGTCCACAGAAAAGATATTGCACACCAAAAATCTGCACAGATGCGACGGAAAACGAAGTTCCTCTTCTGGCACTATTGAAGAATATACTATAAGGACTATAAGAGTAGACCACCGTGGTTTAAAGCTTTCAATACTCTAACCACAAGGAGCTTTATTGACTTCTAATACTATTGTGGTCAGCAGGGAGATCGAAGCTTTACTACCAAATGTACAATAAACATTTAACCTTTAAAAGCATGTAAACCTCTTTCTGGGTTAAGCTTTGAATGTAGTTAATGCACACGGCACATGCAAGCATAGGAAAGGGAAATAATATTTTCGCATTTGAGTTTGTTTTGGCACCTTGGCAAGCGCACGCTAAAAATAATGCCTTTTCAGAACCATTTGTTTATTTTCCTTTCTAGAGTTTGTCCACAGCCGTAAGGTCTGGACGCCGACAAAAGAGACAGAAAAGAAATAACATGTCTGTCGGACAGAGTCGGGGGATGAACTGCTGATAAACTTTGCCTTGTACCACGTCATGTAAACAAAACAAGTTAAAGATGTTCTACCACGCTGAGCTATTGAAATTTGACGAACCTCCATCCTGTAAACTACGTTATCAGGGAAAGAATGCAATAGAACTTTTCAGACTATGGGGTTACTTTTACAACAATTTTAACTGAAATTTGCCCTTCGTGCGTCAGGGTGTAATAAAGCCTTTTCATCGATTTTCTTCATCAACACGTGAGGATGTGATGAAATATATTAAAACATAATGCTATATTTGACCTCCTACCTATCGCGAGTAACTGAATATCTCTAATGTTTGCCAGAACAGCTTTGCTTTGTGTGTAGGCGAGCTTTATCAGTGTATCGGATAGAGTGATTGGAATACTAGGCGCCGAAGTGATCATCAAAACTCAAGTTTCAACCGCAAACAATGCACAAACAAAGCAGCCGAAAAAATAAAATTATGATCATTGTAAGAACTGGGAGCAGGTTCAGATCAAGAAGTGGTGAAGTCCATCAGTTCAAAGACACGAGAATTGGATTACAATGAGAGACAATAAGAATCATGCCGTGTTTTCTGTTTAGACTGTTCAGCTCCTTGCACGCTGTGAAAGTCTGATCTTAGAATAAATGATTGCAAGAATTTCCATAGAAAAGGGCGTCAGCTGATGGGATTGAAAACGGTATAGAACAAATGCGATGTAATTCCGGCGGAGACGGGCTTGCCCTGAAAGCTTAATAACAGGTGTGAAAAGCAGCGAATATTTTGGAAACACGATTACCCCTGAAGACATTAGGGGAGGGGAGGGGAGTGGATTGGAGGAGGCTCGAGATACCTTTTCCAAAGTTAACTTGCTCTTTATGTCTACGTTTGATCAAAACACGATTTCTAAAAGTTGCGTGTGCTGAGTGTACAACTTTTCAACAACCGGAACTTCGGTGCAATAGTTAGCGCAATATCTCGCGTAGAGTTGCACCGAAACACTCTTGGACCTGGAAGAATATTTTTGTGCAACGTCACTGACACACAACTGCACGACAACTCTGTTGCGGTCGATGGGGAAAAGAAAACAGTGACAACAGTAGCTTCATCGGGACCATTGGTTTTCTCAGATGGCCTTGAATAAGTAGCACGGCAGCCCTGTGCCTTCCTATCCACTCTCTTTAGAAGGAGAAACATTTGTAATAGAAACGTTTAGATTTTACTCAAGGATGTCAAGTCAAAGAGGATTGTAGCCAGACCCCGAAAAAATGATTGATGGCTATTGCGTGCGGCAGTGCAGTCACTAGACCTTGACATTTTCAGATAGCTACGCGCAATCGTTATAATTCAGATATTGTACACCCACATTCAGGGCCAAGAATGAACGGGAAATAAAAACGTAAATAGAAAAATTTGAAATATCGCAGTTTTGCATGACTCAGAGCACGACGAGCTTGTATAAAGGTATGTTATCTACAGTCAAACCACGAGAGTCAAGCGCAAGAAACAAGATTGATTCACCGTTTTTGATCCGATTCGTTCTCACTGGGATGAATTAAAAGTAAAATGAACCTAAGCATACGAACTCGTTTAGAAGCGATTTTAATTTCCGACACTGATGGAATGAAAAACCCATCAAATCTTACACATAACCTCGAATGCACAGCACGCATGCGGCCAAATCTGTTCCGCGGCCTTATCAATAAAGTAAATTATTTTTTTAATTAGAGCAAAACTTGTCAAACTATTCAAATAGTCACACAAAAGAAGATAATGTGTTTGGTCAAGAAAACGTTTCTTCTGGAAACCCAGTGGGCCGCGCGAATTTTTTTGTTTTTTTTTTTAACAAACCTTAGCCACGTCCATAAAACCATTCAGCTTGAAGTCCTAAAGGCTTCAGTAAGTGTTTTTCAATGGTTTCCACCATCGAAAAAGTCACGCAATGGTATATTATGCTTGAGTTACCCTATACATCTATGAATTAAACTAGAATAATTATATTATCTCTATAAATAGGAAAATCAAAATCTTAATAAGGCGACTCGGCAAAGCACACGTCAGGATCATTTTACTAAAATTTTACACTTTTCAGTTCAAATCTGAGTTTCACCTACAGTTTATTATAATTTTCATGTTATTGTGAATAACTTCAAAAACTCCATATTCTTTTTCGTGCCAACAAACAAAAACAGGGTATAGTTTCCGCAGTGGTTAAATGTTTAAGAAGAAATACATTACCTCGCCAAAAATATAAGAATTGATGACGTAATCTGGTAATCTTTTTAAAACTATTCAGATATCAAATAATTATCTACTCTCACTTCTTTGCGGTTAAATATAAAAAAGGCCTTAGGAATGAGGGGTCAGTCCTCTTTTTGTACTCTAAAAACAGACAACTATTTAAAAAAAAAGCCAAACGAACATCAGTTTGAAATACGGGTCTAAGTTGAATTGGTTATTCCTAAAATGATCTTTAATTTCAAAAGGAAAGAAATAAGAGAAAATGATACGGAACCTTTTGTTACTCTTGCCATGCCAGAAGCCACAAATTTATCTAAGTTATTTTCGTGCTTGTTGTTTATGTACAGGCAAGTATTAAAATATTGCAGTCAAGAGAGGTCTCAATCCATTTACGGAAATTAACTGCTTTTTAGTTTCTAAACCGCACAAAGCGACTGGAGCACATGAAAAAATTAGAGAAGAGAGAGCAAAAGAACAAGTGTGCATTTCTTTGATAATGGTTGATTCCTCTTCGAAAAAAATTTAAAAAATATTTCACCGTGGAAGGAAGGAACATATCTGCGTCGATATTTCCGCATAATTGTTTCGACGAAAATAGAAATCAGAGTTAAATTTAATCCACTGAGAAAAAAACTTTTTGGGTCACGACCTTGTCAACGCAATAAGTATACCAAAAACAGAAGTTAAATTCATGGCACCAGCATGCAACAGAGAAAAATATGACTCTTCGACCAAGATTCGAAAATTGTTCAATTACGATTTCGCTGTCGGTCGGTTTCTATCAAATGAAATAATTTGAATATATCAACAAAGTTGAAATGGTAAATTAGCCACCGTTACGATTATAAAAGCTGACGTTTCGAGCGTTAGCCCTTCGTCGGAGCGAATGACGAAATTAAGGGCTATTGAATCTGTAGCCTTTAAATTTTATCTTTTGTATGTTTTTAGTACGAGAAATTGTTTTTATACAGGGCTAACCTCACGATTTTCCCTTTTCAGGATGTATTTTTTACATTTGCGTTCTAGCTTCCTGAATAAATGTTATGTTATTTATGTAACGGTGGCCAATTTACCATTTCAACTTTGTTGATATATTCAAATTATTTCGTTACCCCCACCGACGCAGCCTCAAACAGTTTCTTTAGAAACTATCAGCCTTTATTCTATCAAATGAGCCTCTCAGAACTTGTCGGTCAGCACATGTGACGAGCAAACCTCATAGTACCCAAATCAGAAAGGTCGGCTTTCAAATTTCCCCCGAGTCTGACTACCTTTTGTTTCAGGTGTGTAGGCGTTTGCTGTACGTGAGAGAACGCTAGTTGTGGTCAGATAAAAGGATTCACGTCCTTTTGAGTCTCAAGAGGCCTTTTTGGACGTTATGTATAACTCTAAGCTCTTTATTGTGCGCGAAGAAGCTATAAGGTGAACGATGATTTTGGCTGTGTAAAACGTCATTACCTTTTTTGGGGTTTATTTCGGAGAAATCCTTTATCGTTTGAAAAATCATTAAACTTGGCGTTGTGCTTACTCACAGAGGGAAAAATTCCACAGCAATTCTCACTTTGACCTTCTTTGTCCTCTAATTACAATAAACATTTTACAATTCAAAGATAAATACTAT